GCTACAGCTACAGCTACTGCTGCTGCTGCTAGTGCTGTACGGCTGCTGCTACTACTGCTACTACTACTGCTACTGCTACTACTAATGCTGCTGCTGCTGCTGCTACTACTACTACTACTACTACTACGACGACGACGACGACTACTACGTCTACTACCACTACTTCTTCTCCACTTCCGCCGCTGTTACTACGACTTCTGGATTCTGGAATCTTACAGAAGACGAAGAACATCAAGACGACGTAGGGCCTGCTTCAGTGCAGGAAGTCTTTCTCGTCTCAGATGTGGACATCCAATTCTTCGGGGAGGTTCCTCATGTCATTAGAAGCCCAAACACATGACATGCTGAAGTCCAGCGTTTAACGTAGATGCGTCCCTCTTCCTCGCGTCAGATCATCCCGCTCGTGAAGGAGGCACCGCACAGCGGGGCTTACAGAAAGTCTTCCGGCATCTTTCAGCGATATGGATACAGCTGGCTCCCTTCAAGAAGTTCTCTGTCTGATGCTCACTGGGGTGGCCAGGGCATTGCTGGGCGGGATCTGTGCCTTCAGCGGGAGTTCACCAACTTGGGCGGGGGTCTCTGGTACATCCTGGCATGCTGAGTCAAAGAGTGAGCGAGCCGTGCGGCGGAAGGTGTGAACATTGGCTTCATGGCAATCAGACGGACCGCTGCTAGTCTGAAGTTCTGGCCAAGCTGCCATGTTTTCACAGGGCTGCGAAATCCTTGGCTGTCCTGGCTTTGAATGTCTATTCAACAGGCAGTCTGTGTGGGACGAGCTTCCAACTGGCCGCTGGATCCCCGGAGAAGCTCACGTTGCTACTCACACAATGCGTTCGCTGCCCAGGCCATGACCAACGCATCGCCAGAATCTCAGAAGCAGGTGCATGGGATTCCAGGCTCGCGGGCATGCCATGCAGCCAATTCAGTGTCATCAGGCTGGAGTTTCGACGTAACTGAGGTCAACAACTTGCTGTATGCTGCGCAAGTGTCCGACATGTTGGCTCCTCAGTCACTGCTCGGCTCTGTTTCGATGGTTTGATGTGTCAGTGCGCTGGAGGAGATGGGGATGCTTTCCTCCCGCAGTGTGGGCTTCGTCTCAGGCTCCGAGCTGAGGCTTCCGTCCGGTGACCCCCATGTAAAATCAGAGTGTCCTTCGGACCAGGCCTTTGATGGCAATTGTGTGCCGGAGCAAATCAGCCTCCATCATGCGAACTGGGTGGCCCTCGCCCCAGCAGATCTTGGCCGAAGGGATAAAGCAAGCAGTGGCAGTTCGCAAGAATGGGCAGTCCGGTAGCAGACGCATGGCTCTTCGGATTCCCGGCCAGTCCCATCGCATGTGAGGTTCGCGACTACCAGGCCGGCCCTGAAGGAGGCTGTCGTCTGCTGGTAGGACTTTGGAGGAGGAGTTTGGGTTTCAAGTCACAGTTTGCAGCTCTGGAGCCGTGTTGAACGGGCAAGCGATGAGCTCATCACGATCTTTTGACCTCCCCGCAGCTCCGAGCAGGTGCTGATGCCTCCAATCCGCTCGGGCCTTGGCTCGGATGGTGTTGCTGACACCCCGGTGGGATGGTAACGGGGCGGAGATGGTGGTGGTGGTGGCGGTGGTGGTGGTGGTGGTGGTGGTGGGGATAGGGGGATAGATAGTGCCTTCCTCGAAGTCACAGTTGGCTCAGAAGCATGTAGCAGCAGCATGCAGCAGCAGCAGCAGCATGTAGCAGCAGCATGCAGCAGCAGTGGCAGCAGCAATTGACAACGAGAGTGAAGATAAGAAAACATGCATGTCTGGGCGACGAAGGCTGGCAAAGCTTCAGCAGCTCCGGCAACTCCGCGAGGCGGTGCAGGCGCCTGGGGTTCAAGGTTTTCTGGCGGGTTGAGAAGCTCCTTGGCGAAGGATGTGTAGACAGCGCTTAGAAATTGAGGATGTTGGGCATAGGGCTGCAAGCCAGGAGATAAGGCAGCTTGGCACATGGCGATCCTGGAAAGCAAAATTCCAACTAATTCCAACTCGTCCAAAACGGCCCTTCCGCTCCCAGCATTTAGTGGCAGGGCGAGGATGATGGCGGCAAGCTTGATTTCTTCCGTGGCATCTCCTTGGATCCAGCCGGCGTCTCAGAGCTGCAACTGAGGCTGACCCAGTTAGGATGGAGAATAGCCGAATGCTGAGGACCTCGCAGACTACCATCAGAGGTCTCTCGCCGAGCTTCCACAGCATTTTTGAGTTTCAAGGGAACCGCGAACTTCTCAGGACGTTTGGCGACCTCAGATATGGGCCAGAGTGGACGGCCCGACCCCTGTCCCGATGGTGACAGTGTTCTTTGCGCCGGGGTTCGCCGTTGTCAAGAACATGTAGTGCAATGCAGTGCATGCCATGACAGATCCAACTTATGCCGAGACGTTGTGCTGCCTAGCGCAGGCCTTGCCGGTGGGACACCCAGCCCGGCGCGGTGGAACACGCCGACAAGTCCGCTCAGCAAAGGCATGCTTCGAGAAGGGTTCACAGCGACTTTGTGACTGCACAAGGGCTTCTTGCACTTTTGTCCAGTGCAGGCTGGGCTGCCGGAGGTTGGCTAATCGCATTCGTGGCCACGTGAATGTCTGGGACGTGGTCAGCTTGCGCAAAGGCGTAGGAGTCCGACTGGAGCTTTGTGGTGCTACGGAGAGCTCATGATATCTCATGATCATGGAGTGGTACTACCACCGAGCAAAAAGCTCGAATGGAGGCAGCGCGCTGCCGGAAGAAGTCCACAGATCCGTTCGAGATATGGAGAGTGCGCTGCATGCTGCCATGGGCGCAGACCTGACAACGAGTGTTGAGCTTCTCACACCACCTATGCAGCGCCTCCAGCCATGCACATTCGACCCGACTGCCTGGCCGCCGCCAACGGCGAGTCTGAGTCTTTACCTGGGATGGGATCGGCCACAGAGCGGAGCGTAGCGGTGAAAGATGTTCTGCGGTGAATGGCTGAGCAAGTCAGATGGCTTCAGTTGATGACAGCGGATGACAGTTTATGGTCTGATAGCTTGGAGGATTGCTTGTTCAAGTCTGCAGCTGGAAACGCCGGTCTACCAAAAACCTGGGCGGGGTTCCGGATTCGGATGCGGTCATTTGCATCCAGGGTGCTTGCTTGAGGAAGAGGAAAGTTGACATGAGGGAATCTAGGATTAATGGGTTTTGCTTGCAAACATGGTTTAGGGCTGGTATGTGAACATGGTTGCCCTCCATGCCTCCTGCAGGATGGCCGAAGTTCCACTTTACCATAATGCGCGGACAAGATGTTTAGGACCTAAACGTTTAGGATATCTCAGCAGCCGAGACGGGATGGCCGAAACCTGACTAGATGATGCAATTAGGAGGCAGATGGGGTCACAAGGTTTCGAAGCTGACTTCCTAGAAGAGCACAGTTCAGAGGATTCCAACTCCCTGCTTCGACTGTTTCAATCGGTAGCTTTCTTGGGGAAGAGCCGACTTCGTACTTGTACACAGCATGTCAGGATTAAGATTCCGGTTACCGTCAAGGGTTGACCCATCGTCGTGAGCATCCATGGAACCCGTGGAGCACGTCCACGTTGAAGTCGACGGCGTGTTGGGGCTCGTGCCCCAAAGCTGGCCGCCAGGACCAGTCCATGTGGCTGCCGTTCTGCCAAGCAGTGTTCTGGCAGCGAGGATTGGTGTCGGTGACGAGCTTGTGAAGGTCAACGATGCTAACGTGTGCGACTTGGATCGGTCTGCACTGGCGCGGGAGCTCAGCAGGAGGCCGCTGAGCTTGGAAATCAAGCGATTCTCATCGTTGCCTCGGGAGTGCCTTTCCGAGACCATCGATGTGCAAGTGGGGGTCTCCGACGGTGCCGTCGGCTTTTGCCCTCGAGATTGGCACAGTAAGCCGATTGTGGTGGGAGCTGTCCTTCCCAACCAAGCTGCAGCTGCGAAAGGTGTCAGAGAGGGCGATGTCCTAGTCTTGGTCGATGGACAGCACGCAAGCTCCATGACGGCTGCTGAGCTCGCTACCGCTTTGTCACGAAGGCCCATCTCCCTTCGCTTCCAGCGCCACGACGGGAGCGAGACTGCTCGTGGTGATCCGTTCCTTGCGTCTCTCGACGACGCTCCGCCTCCGAGAACGGGCGCAAGCGCTGCGGCCCTTGATGCGGATGCACGCAGTGGCCGGGATGGGCGCGAGCTGCTCCCATCCCAGATCGCCACAGCGACGGCAAAGGAAGGCGTCGAGGTCACCTCAGCAGCCTCGGCAGAGGCCGGCTCGCTATCGGCGGCGTCGCCTCGGAGGCCCCCGAAGCCAAGGCGCCCCGTAAAAGTTCGCTCCCACCAAGAGCCACAGACAGCTGAGGAAACAGAGCTCACGGAATCAACTCGGCGCCCTCCCCAGCCAGCGAAGCCAGCAACAAAACCGGCAAAGTCGGAGGCACCGCCAGAGGCACGAGAGGGCGGAACGCAGACTGAAGCCCCGATGACGGCAGATAAGGGAGTACAGCCGGATATTGAACCTCAAGATCTTGAAGAGCTGCCGCAGCCACTGTCTGCAGAGAGTGCTCATGTGGTGCCTCCCGAGGAGCAAGAGGAGGCTCACTCGGAGGCTCGAGCCTCTGATCAAGATGTCGACGAAACTGCTGCGGCTGCTCCTTCTGCGGACCTGCCAGCCTTGCTGCGGCCGCCGACCATCCCCGAGCCACAGCCCGACATGCCACCGCTGCGGCCCAGGGATTTCAGCCGGCGCCGATCGACAGAGCCTTTCAAGTTCCGGGAGTTGCCGCCTCCTCCCAGAGCCCCACCGGCCCTTTGGGATGAGCCCTCCGCTCACCTCAGAGACTTCGGAGATCTCGAAAACATCGCCGTCGCCAACCCGCAGTCTCTGAGGCCTTCGATGCTCAAGGAGCTGCCGCCTCCGGACCGCCCGCCGCTTCCTGTCGAGACAGCCCGGGCCCGAGTTTCTGAGAAAGGGTGGGCGAGGCAGCAAAGGGCGGCTTTAGTTTAGTTACGTTTGTTGTGGCTCTAGTTCTTAGTTCAGGTTCTACTTGCTTCAGTGGATTTCGTAAGATTCCTGTTTTTGGGCGACAAGGAAGCGGAGCTGCAGCTTTGGCGCCACGTGCCGGAAGATCTGAAGCCGGATTCCCCGGAGACAGCAGAGGATTTGGAAGAGTGGCTCAGGTCATGTTATCTGCCCGACAGCACAACCATCTTCTAGATTACCAGGAGACTGTGCTTTAACAGATGTGCTGGCGAAGGTGGACATGGAATGCTGTGGACGATGCACAATCGAACTCGATGTGCGTTCGCGCAATGCTACGACTGTCACTGCTTTTTTGGGCTTGGTTTGCCGACCTTAAACGCGAAACCAACCTGTCGCACAAGGGGGATCCTGCACTCACGCGTCCAACTCTGACGTCTCCCCGGGCTCATTTGTCCCGCACCTTGGAATGAGAACTTGGGACAACGAACGCTTGCGCTTTGCAAGTGCAGAGCTGTTGATGCGGTCTTGTCTCACACTACCGCACTGAAGCGCTGGTCGAACTCGGACGAATGATTTATTGCGGCGATATGGCTTCTATTTCTCGGCTTTCATGAATCTTTGATTTACTTAATCCAGAAAATAGTGTCATTTGAGAAAATGAAAAAGCTACGAATACCGTCCTTGCTTCAAACCATCTTGTTGTAGTCTACATGGCGCTGAAATTATCGAGATCGAATTAGGACCTACTTATGGCGGTCATAATGGATATGCCGCATGATATGCCCGGATTGATTCGGATTACTAGACTGAGGCTAGTTTTACAAAGAGGGGTAAGAAATAGGAGTTGCTATCGACTCGCGTTTGTAAAGCATATAGTCTAGAAAATGTTGCGTGCTTCTTCGGTTAATGACGGCTGCCGGTGCAATACCACGAAGATCTCGGGATTTTGGTATTGTTGGTATGCTTGCGGTTGTCTGCCTTTAGATTAAAGGCGAGCCCACAGTACGAAATTGGGAAAATGCTAATTTTCTAGGGTTTTGTGCCGGATGCATTACGTAATACGAAATTCTGAAAAATCTGGGAAAATATGATTTCATAACACGGCAAATTTAAGTTGAAATTTCATGTTTTATATGATAATATTTTCGATTAGATTTATTCTATATTCTAGCCTTTATTTCATTATATTGCATCGATAAATATTAGATATCGTCGATATTCTATATTATAATGAATGATTAGATATTATATATATATATATATTATGTAGACATTTTCTACTAGATTCTAATTTAATAAGATATTTTAAAAAATATTTTATGTCTATCGGAATTATTGATGACTCGACTAGGTATTGTAGTTATATATTAGATTATGAAAAGAAATCGTGGGTATATGTCGTGGGGATTGTCGTGGAGTTGTAGGCGATGGTATGTCGAGGTACGTTATGGGAGTATGTGGGTAGATGGAGCGGTGGGTGAAAGTGTATCGCGGCTTAGTGGGTGGAATGGTAGGTAAGGATGGATTTGCTGGGGGTTTGGGAGTAGTGGGCGAGGGCGTGAATAGGAAATATCATGAGAGTTGATCTAGAAAGGGAGCAATAGAGATAAGAATATTAAGATCAGGATATTATATCGAATGGAATATTGTACGAAAGGATATAATAGAGTTTTTTCTTATACTAGATTCAAATTTTATTTTTCTTCGAGATTATTTATTATTATTCAAATTATTTTTTTATAATTTATTAAATTAAAGTGATCTTTATATTTTATCTCGGCTTTAAAAATCTTAATTAATTTGAGATTTTAGGTTTATGAAATATTTCTATAAATATGAATAAATCTAATCTTTTCTCTCTATTTTCGATTTTTAAGGGTTGGAATAAAGTTAATTGAAATATATTAATATATTGATTATAATTATTATAAGAATTAAATTAGATTTTATTAAAGATTTGAAATCGTTTTTTTTAATGATATTATCGATATCGTCGACGAGCGATTATAGATTTCTTTTAATAGAAATTCTTGGTTTAGAAAAAAGAATTAAAGGTTATTGAAGGTTGCCGAGCTTATTTATGAATATTATATTTGAAATTTCGAAGAAGTAAATCTCAAAATTATGCCCTTATAAATTTCAAAATAACGGTATCTCATAAAATTCATGAGAAATACTTGAAACTTCATTGAAAATGATTTCAAACTCATAGTAGAATAACGTCAAAAACCAATATAATATCGTCAAAGTCTTCAAATTATAATAATTAATAAATTCCGATTCCAAGAGAATATTTAAATGCCTCTCCTATTCGATTTTTCAGAATTACTTTCGAATAGGCGAATAATAACGATAATTAATTTGCGCGAAGAAATCTTACAATCAAAGTTTATTTCAAATTTTCATAATATCCTTTATTCGGAAATGACGAATGGAGAAAAGGAAATTATCTTGCGAATATTTCAAATATTCGAAGCATTTAAATATATTATCTATTCAAGCCATATAGAACTCTTCTAAGCTCATATAAATATTCTCAAAATTTTTATATAAATTTTCTAAAATTGAAATTATTTATATATTTATTCATAATTATAAATATTTCATATTTTTTGGAAAAAAAATTCAATAATTATTTTTTATTTTGAGAAGACATTCCCCCCAATAAGCCCGAATCTCAAAGATAACTATATAATAGCTTCACGAGTGATATTCTACTAATAGCAAAGATATCCTCAAATATTGCAGGTTGCTGGGCAGTGCTTCGCATCGTAGATCAGCATAGTAACATAAGAATATCTATAGTGTCTCTAGTATCTGTCATTCTATTTTTCTTTCCTTTAATTATATATGAAAGAATTTCTAAAATTTATTTAAAGAAAATATAGATAGGCAAAATAATAAAGAAATTTATCCTTTTAATTATTTTCTATTCTTTAATTTTAGATATTGTAGAGTATGATTTTGATAATAAGATTTAGATTTCTTTTCCTTACGTCCAACCTCAAGCACAAATTCAAATTTAATTCTCCATTTAATTCTATTTTATACTATCCTATCCAAAATTAAAGAGACCAAACCCTAGCCCCATACCCCGATCCAAGGCCCAGGCCCAGAGACCATGACCAAAGTCTTTTCAGAGACTCAGGCCCAAAATCCAGGGTCCAAGACCCAAGCCAAGCTCTATCCAAGAAGCCTTATCCTAAGCCCTACCAATCTAAGCCTCTCCAGCCCAAACTCATAGGCCAAACCCTAAGCTCAGCTCCTCCCCCGAATTCTAAATACAGACCTTTCCCATCTTCCTCTCCTCAACCCCAAGCCGAAACCGAAGCCAAGATACAAGGCCTATAATTTATTTTCATATCATCTAGAAGAATAAATAGAGAAACATATTTTGATCAAGTAATAGAAATATAGATTTTTTTTTCAATATTTTCAAAAAATATTTTTAAAAATAATTTCGAAAATAATTTCTGAAAAATTTATTTCGTATTTTTAAAAATTCAAATCTTAAATTTTTATTAAATCCAAATCCTAAATCCTATAATCTTTTGTCCCTAGACCTCCAAAACCTAATGTTCGTAAAACCCCAAACCCCAAACCCCTGACCCGAAACCCTGGGACAAAAGCCTTACCTCTCCTTTTCCTCTCCCCTTCCTCTTCCCATCGTTCCGGTCACAGCCCGGGCCCGGTTTCCGCAGCAGCTACAACCCACTGATTCAAGTGGTGGATGGTGGGTGGTGGGTGGTGGGTGG